TAGATAAAATAATGAACAAGCGAAGGATGATGGAGACAGGGAAGATAAACAGTAAGTGGAAACACAGTGAAAGAATCCAGAACTTCATGGGTCTGCAGTAGCATCCTTGTTATGGATATTTTTTCTGGGAGTTGTGGTAGTTCCATGAGAACAGATGGAATCTTTCATAGTGCATAATTACAAGAACTCCTACAAAAATGATAGTTGGTTTGTTGAATGTCAACCACCGGCTCTTTATCTCTGATCTTGAATAGAGTTGAGAACCACAAAAAGCATATTGAAAGGAAATTTTGTGTCATCAGGAATGTTCAAAGTTGCATAGGCCAATTTTTTTAATTTTGAGAGAGAAAAACTGGAATTGAGAAGGTGACTTTGTATGTTCTCTTTTAAGAACACCTGTAATTCTGTGTGAAGCGAATAGCTATGACTTGAAAGCATACAATTCTAGAAGTGAGTGAACTTTCTCAAGGTAGTTGGTAGGAAAGTGAGATTGGTTCAAAAAACCACCTTTCCTGTCAAAATGTAGTTGGTTTGATACCAAACATTTGATTTTTTCCTTTTTAAGTTTGATCTCGAATTATCCAGTGGGTCCTTTGGTTTTAGCAAAACAACTGTATAATTGTAACAAAAATTGAACAAACTGAATAAGCCATTCATTCTTTCACAAGGTTATTTATTTCACTATGGTATTTATTATTTATTTGTATTAGAACAGTGGCTTGGAGCCAACTCAGAACAGGATCCCATTGAGCATTGTACAAATAGAGGTTACGGTCTAAATAGACAAAGAAGATGAAAGGTTGGGGAAAGGAATGAAAGAATGCTTTGCAATTGTTATGTTAGTGCCATTAGTTTTGTGTGGGATGGGGGTTGGTGGTACAATGTTTTTAATTTTGTAACTCCAATTTAGCAAGGGGAATAGCTCAAAAGACACACACAAAAAGAGAGGATGGTAAGGATATAAGGCGGGAAGGAAGGAGGGGGGCATGGAAGGCGGATGGAATGGGGCTGTGGTGAAGAGACTGAGGGAGCACACAGGAGGGTTTGGAGCAAACAGCCTGTCAGCACAGGAGAGAGAATATGAGAATATTAAGAGTGAAAACTGGAGAAAGCAATCTATCATTATTGTTTTATAGCTCCTGCTTCACCTGCTTCTGCAGCTACCTTTAAGTCTCTGTCTGGCTCCCCCGCAGTTTCTCTCTTCCTTTCTCCAAGCCCACACAGCTGGAGGGAGAGGTGGGTTCTCATGAAGCCTAGTTATTCCTGGAGTTGGAGGTCTCTTGTACAGTTCTGGGCCCAGACTTGCTTAAACTTCTTCAACTGCTTCTGCCAGATAAAAGAATATTTAAAATGTCTTCACTTGATTTATTTTCTAATCACAAAACAGGAATAGCATTAAAGTTTAGACCTGTACCACCTAAATTCCTTTGTCATGTGTAAGATTTTGCATGGTAAATGTGAAGAAGATATATTTCAGTTGAGATCAGTTTGCCTCTGTGATCTTTAAGGATGATAACTTTTATATAGTTACACTTACACCTAACTGGAATGCAACTTGGGGGCAGAATTTGTATTGTAGAATAGATGAGACTTTGTTTTAGCAGAGTTCTTCCATTCACAGGTATTCTGCTGGGATTTAACTGTATGGTATTTCCACAGTGGCATAGTGGTAGTAGTAACTGCTTGGCAAAAGCAGAACATAAATGCACTAAATTATTTGCCAAGACACTCTGTTATCTGAAAAGTCTAAAGAGCGCTCAGTCCTCTATTTTCGTTCTACTGATACCAGCGTATTTAAGGCTTTATGAGGTTTGGCCTATCACTAGTATTTCTTAACTGTCAGATCTTGTCAGTGCAGCTCTTGATATTCAGAACTAAGGATGGACTATAACTGACAGACAAAACATACCTGAAGGCTTTTCAGCCTTAAGTGATTTACAAACTCCACACATAAGTAATGTTATGTTAAGTTTATGTGTAATGTGCGGGTCTTTTCTCTTTTGGGGTAGGCATCCTTTATAATCTATAGGTTTTTCATGCTTTGTTTTTTAGCATCCAGAAGGGACTCTGTAGAGGACTCATCTATTTTGGTTGACTTGGGAAGCTAGCTCATGCAAATACTGAAGCCATGTCATGTAAAATTATACATTAGTCTTGTACTTCCTTTTGGAGTACACGCACACATCAAAGAAAAACTGCAGAGAAGGAAATAGATTTGCTTTTTTAGCCATAATTCACCCTTGGTAGAGCCTGAGTGCTGCCTTGTGTAGGGAACACAGATTTAATCCAGGTGTTTGCAGGACAGCTCTGTCATACCTTAATGGGGACAGAGGAGTCTGGCAGGGAGGCACGGTAGTGGCAGAAACCACCACACTGTCATGTACCCGACCCCTGTGGTGGGGGTGGGCGGGGTGGGAAGGAGAGAGCGAGAATTATTTTAATTCACTTTTGATTAGTTGAAACTTTAAGATTTTGAAACACAATTGTTGGGAGAAATTGAACTATCAACTTGTACCACTGCCAAAGGCAGAGAATCTGGTGGCCTGAAGTTGAAGGACAGAGTTTAGTCCTGGAGCCTCCAGCAACAATATTGGACTGCTTCCAAATTCCACAGGTAGGAGGCATTAGCTCATGAGAAATGGAGTGAGAGAAGCTATGCAGCAGAAGTAGATATGCTTGTTTAGGAAAAGTCACTATGACCTCCCTCTCCAAGAAACTAAATAGGTCTTTTGGGTATAACAAAACTCAGGTGCACCAACATTACTAATATTGTTTTAAAAGATATAAATATTAGGAAACTAATTTCTTGTTTTGTATTGCTAGAAAAGCTGAAGATCTGCCATTTTCCTCCTGCTTTACAGATTTCCTACTCTCAAAACCTTGTATCATGGCCCCCATCTTTCTAGCTGAGGAGCCATTCCCTTTAGAACCTGTTATGGCTATGTGTTAACTGTCAGGGTTGTCGAGTAACATGATGTGCTTAGGGTTGCCAACTTTCTAATTGCACAAAACCAAACACCCTAGGACCACCTCGAGACTGCACCCCCTGCTCAATACATTCCCACTTCCTTGGTGGTTTGCTCCCCTCCCCCCCCCCGCACCCTCACTCACTTTCACCAGGCTGGGTCAGGCAGTAGGAGTGCGGGAGTGGGTGAGGGCTCTACCTGAGGGTGCGGACTCTGGCGTGGGACCAGTAATGAGGGGTTCAGGGTGCAGGAGAGGGCTCCGGGTGGGGGTGCAGGCTCTGAGGTGGGGCTGGGGATGAGGGATTTGGGGTACAGGAGGGGGTCAAGGGTTTTGGTGTGCAGGAGGGGGCTGCGGGTTGAGGCAGGGAGTTAGGGTACAGGAGGGGGTATGGGCTCTGGGGTGGGGCAGGAGGTTGGGATGTGGGAGGGGGTGAGAGCTCTAGCTGGGTGTCCAGGCTGTAAGTGGTCTTGGGGATGAGGGGCTTGGAGTGCAGGAGGGGGCTCAGGGCTGGGGGTTGTGGCTTGGGGTTGTAACAGAGGCTTACTTTGCACGGCTCCCGGTTATTGGCACAGTGGGCCTAAGTCAGGCAATCACTGCCTATCCTGGCTTCGCTCTGTGCCCTGGAAGCAGCCAGCAGGTCCAGCTTCTAGGCAAGAGTGAGAGAGGGGGCCAGGAGGCTCTGTGTGCTGCTTCCCCCCCACACCCAGTGGGAGAGCGGAGCTGGCGCTCGGGGTGGGGACAGCGTGCAGAGCCCTGTGGGGGGCCCCCCCCAACTTAGGAGCTGGACCTGCTGGCCTCTGGGCGCACCACAGTGCCAGGATAGGTAGGGACTAGCCTGCTTTAGACCCACAGCACCGCCGGCTGGACGTCTAATGGTCCGGTCAGCGCAGCTAACCGCAGCCGCCAGGGTCCCTTTTTGACCGGGTGTTCCAGTCGAAAACCGGACACCTGGCAACCCTGGATGTGCCCCCTCCTATGAAGAGTGAAGCAGTCTAAACTGTTACCAGCCGTGGGAGCTAGAGAATCTAAAAAGGAATCTACACTTGATTTCCCTAGAGACAAGATTTTTTTTTTAATTAGAATACTGGGACAGTATTCTTTATATTGTCATAGATAAGATGGATGCTGGAGTTTTTGGTGTATGGCACATCTGACTTGGGAATACCCTATCACATGGAAAAAGTAAATGGAGGACAGATCTAGTTAGAGATGCCTGCTCAAATATTCTTCCACATGCCCTGAATGTCCTGATCATTGACCTCCCAAGTCCTCTATTTTTTACCTCTCCTGCACATAATGATCCTTTTCTTATATTTTAAAGATATTGGTGCTCAGCTGTCTGGCTGCTCCTGGCATAGCACTTACCCTTTGAATTTTTCACTGTGGTATGCAACAGTTTTGGGGTGGGGGTGGGAGGCAGGGAATGCCAGTGGAAATTTGGAGCACCCTAGGTTCAATTGCATGTGCCCAACTGTTCAGTGAGAGGATTCTGAGACCTAGCGCAGGTACAGCTGGGACTTCAGGTTATTCCTGGGGTTTGGTACATTGAGTTTAGGAGTAAGATTTTGATATAAATAGCTGGTGTCTGCTCCCACTAGGTCTTATGCATGACTGTGTGGATTGCTAGCAGTTAAACCATTGGATCAGCCCAGTAATGTCAAATAGAAGTATGTTAATAAAATTCAGGTGCCTTTACTGACCAGGAACTTGTGAAAATGAATTAAATTGAAGCTGCTTTGTTACGTGACACATGCCAAAATAATTTGGTGAGTGGATGTTTGATGTCAGGGAATACTAGCATTGTTCTATAATGTCATCTAGCTCTTTCAAATTCAAAGTCTTTGAACTAGTTAGTGATAATCAGGCAAGTTTCTAAACACATTTTCTGGCTTAACGGTATTAAATAAAAGTGGAAACACCCTTCAAATTATTTCTACATTTTAAAACCTATTTCTAGCCAAGTAAACTTTGATCTTTCAGATTTTGAACTATATTCATTCTTAAAACTTGCTTGTATGTTTGACTACTTGTAGCTTATTTCATCTGAAGAAAACGACTACAGTTCTTGTTACAGCCAGTCAGATAGTCAGTATGGTTCTCCTCCAAAAGGTTGGTCAGAAGAATTGGATGAACATGGTCAAACCTTATATACCAATGACTATACTAATGAAAAGGTACATTCTCCTTTCTTCTCATCACATATATTCTAAATTGGCAGAATCTTTTCAGTAAATTTAGTTGTAAGAATATACAGATTTCATTTTCAGTGGTGAAAATCTTTCCTCAGTGCTGGCTTCCTTTGTTCTTAAACGTCCACAACTTTGGCAACTGAACTAACAATTTGCTCTGATGTATGTTATATTGATATTCCATGGAGAGAGTTTTCCTAATGCTAATTCAGTGTGAGATTTGGGGCATCAGCTCCAATTCAAACAAAAATGTATATTGCACAATTCTTTATATTTCTGTCCTCTTTGTGATGTTATAGGAAACGTATTCCTTACCATTCTAATGTTCTTCTTTCTGTCTTTCAGAAACCCTTCTTTTGATGGTGCTGTGTAGGGTTGATAATATAGTACTCTCCGTGGGTCTGTTTCCTGCTGAACATATAGTTGCTTTACTTTTTGCTTTTGCTTTTCATAACCTTGTTAAATCTTCCTTTGGGAAGCAGCAAAATCTAGTGACTAGATCACAGCAGTATCAGGAGACTTGGGTTCTGTTCTAATTTCTGCCATTGACTAACTTCGACTTTGGGCAAGTCACGATAACAGTTTCCTGATTTGTAAAATAGGAATAACCCCCCTATTTTGTAAAACAGTATTTAATCATTTTGGTTTGTGTTCATGTTAGCGCTGCTCTTTATTATTTTTAAAATAATTATTTGAAACAATTATGAATTTCATGTAACTGAAATGGATATGGTGCTGGAATATGTTGTATACTAAAATAGTTTTTAAGATGCAGAATTTAAATTGCAATAGATTTTTAGTAAAGGCTTGAATTTTGTGAGTTTTAGCTGGTGTACTTTTAAGGAGATATGAATTGTCATGTTTAATGCTTCAGTTTCTCAAAGCTGACCTGCAAATAAGTCATAAATTTAATTTACTTCAGAAAAAACTTCAGAATTTCACTACTACCAGAGCTTTTCCTCTCTTTAAACTGCCCCACAGGCTCTGCAGAATGTGTCACTCTGCTATAATATGTTGTAAAGCATTATAAATTTACTTTATGCTTTACAGTAAAATACATTTCCTGACTCAAAGAATTTATTGTAAGGGTATCTGTGTGAAGTCCCAGTGTTTTCTGAGGGACTCTGCCTGGCTTCAAAGGCCTGCCTTTGTATCTTGTTCTAGGATCAGGGCCTGATACAAAGAACTTTGCCCTTAAGAGCTCTTCCTTCACAGTGAAATTGTGAGCATGCACTGTTATGGATGTTGGGTCTGCGGACTGCTTGTCCCCTGGAACAAGATCCGAAGCAATTACTTGTCAGTACTCTTACGAAATAATTAAAGGTTTAGAACAATAATAAGTTTGTACAATAATCTCTCTAAAATGGGCCCTTATTACAACTTGCCTCTTAGCCGTACCAGGAACCTAATGGAGCTTGATCAGATAAGTGGCAGGACTTCTATATACATTTCTGTATTATCTTCTCAAAGACTTTTAAATTTAACCCTTTCACGTTGAAAAGAGTGCAGTGTACTGTACTTTAAAAAAAATCTGTTTATCTTGATGCTGTGACATCACAGGGTTATACTTTCTAGGGAGTTACAATAGAGATGTTGAGAGTGAATGTGACCTGGAAATAAAAAAGAGCACATAAAATTTACTTTCTCATTGCTTTTTAGTTTTGCCTATTGAAAAGGGTGCACAGTTGGTACATTTCTGAAGTAAATGGAGTTTTATTATTTGCAAGTTGTCTTCAAGCTTGAATGCAAAGTAACTAAGATGTGTTGTGATATCAGTTTTTCTGTCACTGTTATTAAACTTCCTATTGTCACATTTATTTCTACAGTGGATAAAACATGTAGATGAACAAGGTAGACCATATTACTACAGTGCTGATGGATCACGATCAGAATGGGAACTGCCAAAGGTAACGAACAAAAGTATTGTGACAACGGGTTGTTCTTTCAATAAACGTTCAGGAATCTGTGGTGAGAGTTCTTCACAACAGATGTATTCTTTCAACAGTGGCTAATGCCCCATGTTTAATTATTCTTGACATTTCTTGTTTGTTTTTTTCTGTGAAGACAAACTCATGATCATGAAGGATGTGACATCAGAAATAATTCAGTATAATGATGTTAAAAATTCAAGAGACAATCTTACCTCTGTGCCTAACCATATTTTTCAAGTAGTGCTGCACATTATCATTGGCATTCATGTTATAGAGGCAGGGTTTTCAAAGTATTTTTTATGAGTAGTAGTATTGTGTTCACTTTTTAAACTCCGCTCTATAGACAGTGATATTCATCAGAGGCCCTTGAGAGAAACTATGAACTAGCTTTTAAAACAAGTTGCAATACCAGTACTAGCAGACCAAGAAAGAGAGACCTGAGCAAAGTGGGAAATGACTAGGAAGATAGTTTTCTAACAGAACTTCATTAAGCCTGTGAAAATATACTGACATCTAAATTACTAATGAGTTAAATGGAATTCTCCTGTAATCTGCACACAATGTGTTAGGGAGACTTTTCTGTAATTCTCTAATCCAAATTTTGTGGCAGCCAGAGACCTACCAGGCTATCCTTAATGAATACAGTTTAAAAATTACATAGATACTGACCAACTGCTTCAGTCCAGTGATTAGCAGTCTTATACGCTTGAACAAATTGCTTTTATCAAAAACACTTTGAGCAGTCAGTTTGTATAATATAAATTTAATCCAGGAAGTGAAAGATGAGTTTCTGGCATGCTGTCACTATTCTTAATGCAGAGTGTTTTTGACAGAGTGGAATGGTTCTATCTTGCACACTAATTCAGTTTCAGATCTGAACCATACAAATAATTGATACTGTTGGCTCTAATCCAAGAACTACAGTTCACAGTGCCAACCCAATAGAAATTTACCTAAAGAAGTGTAGAGAAAGGCGGTGTCTCAAGGTGCTGTGTGTTTTGTAATGCAGTCGTTTAGAGGTCCCAATCAAGGATCAGGGCCTGATTGTACTAGTTGTTGTAATTACACAGAGGCTATGTTTACACTTGGAGTTGGGGTGGGGGTGATTCCCAGATTGAATAGACATACTCATAATAGCTCTCATTAAGTAGTAGTATAGCGGTAGCGCGAGTGGCCGCACAGGCTAGTCGCCCCAAATACAAACCTACCTTGACCCTGTGGGTAGTGTGGCTAGCCTGTGCTGCTGTCTGTACTACTGTGGCTACACTACTATTTTTAGTGTGCTAGTTTGATGAGAGCTACCACGAGTATGTCTGCAAATCATATTCCCAGCTCCAAGTGTAGATGTAGCCAAAATGAAAACACATAATTGCCTCATTGTTAACACGTGCTTCCCTTGTTTGACTGTATCCACCTGTTGTCTCATCACTACTTAAGACTCTAAGTTCTTAAAGCAAAGATGGTCTTTTCACTGTGTTTGTAAGGACTAGCATAAGGATGCCGTAGGTGCTACCATAATGGAAAGAATTAATTAATTAAAGCAGTCTCTGTTTAAAATTATTTCCTAACTATGTAATCTTTTAAAAGAAAAGGAGTACTTGTGGCACCTTAGAGACTGACCAATTTATTTGAGCATAAGCTTTTGTGAGCTACAGCTCACGGAAGCTTATGCTCAAATAAATTGGTTAGTCTCTAAGGTGCCACAAGTACTCCATTTCTTTTTGCGAATACAGACGAACATGGCTGTTACTCTGAAACCTGTCTTTTAAAAGAATGCGTAATGGTAAATGAGTATGAAATTGCCAAAACTTACCAAATGTTAACTTGGTGTAAACAAATGAACAATTGATCTTGCGCCATAACCCAGTGCCCTGTGTACTTTTAAAATAACAGCTTGAAATTCTAGAAGTCATTTAGTGTACCAGTTTTCCACAAAAGATCTTAAGACTACCCAACCTATAACTTACAGTGACTAACAGAGATTTGTGAGTAAAGGCAGGAGCATAATTGAAACCTCATATCTGGAAAAACTCCGATTTATTAGAAGTTGGTTCAAAATTTACCCAGGAAGTAAAGGATTGGAAAACATAATACAGACTGAGGATCTGTTTCAGGAAAAAGATTTTTCTCTTCTTAACGGTCAGGAGTGGGAGAAGAAAAGACTTTAGGAGAATTTTGGCTGTTTTACAACTGAAAAGGCATAGTACTGAAGCTGTGGGGTCCTACATCCACCTGAACATGATCTTTTAAAAAAAAAATACATATAAACCAGTTCTCTCATCTATAATCATTTTTGGTAAATTATTACAAATCCTTTAGAGCAACTGCATATCACTGGAACCAAAAATCATCAAAAAGAGTCTGGAAGGAGTTAACTGTGAAAGATGCTAATCTAAGATTAAAAATTTAAAATCTTCATGATGTATGTTGGATACTGGACACTGCTATGAATATACCACTTTGGAAGAAAATTCAAACACACATTGGGGAGATAAAAATACTGGGAAAAATACATGGCACTTCATGCTTTGGCCACCATTCCAGAGGACATGCTTCCATGCCGATGATGCTCATTTAAAAAAAAATGCGTTAATTAAATTTGTGACTGAACTCCTTGGAGGAGAATTGTATGTCCCCTCCTCTGTTTTACCCACACGTTGCCATATATTTCATGTAATAGCACATGTTCATTTTAAGAAAACTTTCACTGCAGATTTGACAAAACACAAAGAAGGTAGCAGTGTGAGATTTCTAAAGATAGCTATCGCACTCGACCCAAGGTTTAAGAATCTGAAGTGCCGTACAAAATCTGAAAGGGACGAGATGTGGAGCTACACTCCAGTGCAGAAACTACACAACCCAACCCCCCAAAAAAGAATATCAACCTTCTGCTGGTGGCATCTGACTCACATGATGAAAATGAACATGTTCCTCCACACTGCTTTGCATTGTTATCAAGCAGAACCCATCATCAGCATGCATGCATGTCCCCTGGAATGGTTAAAGCGTGAGGGGACATATGAATCTTTCGCACATCTGGCACATAAATACCTTGCAGTGCTGGCTACAAAGGTGCCATGCAAATGCCTGTTCTTACTTTCAGATGACATTGTAAACAAGAAGCGGGCAGCATTATCTCCTGCAAATGTAAGCAAACTTGTTTGTCTGAGCAATTGGCTGAACAAGAAGTAGGACTCAGTGGACTTGCAGGCTCTGAAGTTTTACATTTTTTTTTAAAGCAGATTTTTTGTACATAATGCTTCATCTGTAAGTTCAACTTTCATGATAGAGATTGCACTGCAGTACTTGTATTAAGTGAATTGAAAAATACTATTTTTATTACAGTGCAAATACTTGTAATAAAAAATAAATATAAAGTGAGCACTGTACACTTTGTATTCTGTGTTGTAATTGAAATCAATGTATTTGAAAATGTAGAAAACATCCAAAAATAGTTAAATAAACGGTATTTTATTAACAGTGTGATTAATCACAATTTTTTTAAATTGTGCGATTAATCGTGATTAATATTTTTAATCGCTTGACAGCCTAATATTTTCTTCTTTGTGACAGTTAGCTTTTGTTTTCTCCTCCACACTTAATCCATCCAGTATATATATCCAAATCATGTTGAGACTGGAACCTCAACCCTCCTCTGCCATACACCACTTCAGGATCTTATAGCCGTGATACGGGAATTAAAATGGTGTGTAGGGAAAAATGTTGCATATGCTTAAAATCCAGATGAAGAGTTGTGTGTTTAAAAATACTTAATTTTAATTGTGAGAACATCAGGCACAATTTATAAAGGAAAAAATGTAAAGTCTGGAGTGACACGTACTAGCTGTCTAAGAAATTGTTTAACAGTGTTTCCTTTTATCTATCTACAAAATACTGAATAAATAATTTTGAGACTGTGCTGCAATTCTTTCCCCATCAAGTAGAAGTTAAGGGGACGTTGAGACTAACAGACATATTTCCAACATGCATTCCCAGTCTTTCATTCCGCACAGGCGTAGGAACATAGTTATCATACAAAATCAGACCACTGTTTGATCTGTCTTGACCAGCTCTGAGTCCTATATCCCTCAAATGAAGCAATTAAAATAAAAATAAGTTAAGAAACATAGACTAAGGTCAAAGAAAGCAAAAATGAGAGAGAATAACAAAATAAGTGAAACAGGAGTGAAGGAAAAGATCTATTGTGCGTTAGAGACTCTCCTAGGTCTTTCCATCACTCTAGTCTCTAAACATTGAGCTAACACAGTTTTTGATATTTAGACAATTTAAAAGTATGAATATTGACCATAAAAACTGGGTTATAGTCTTCCTTTTGTCAAGAAATTAACACAGCATCAATTTCCTCCATCCCCCACCACACACAGCAGAGTCACCAGGAAAGGACCTCAGTTTTTGATACCTTATTAGACCAACAGTCCATTATTCACTTCTTAGCTTTGCTCTGTCAGCATTAGATATGAGTCCAAATCTTAGTTTTGAAACTCAGACGTGTGATCATCTGTCTCAGAGGCCACAGTACTGCCAAATGAATGCTAAGTCCTGTCTACTACACACAACTTAAAATTGAAAAATGTAAAAGCAGAACAAAGTGCAAGTAACATTAAGAAAATAACATGCAAAATTAAAAATGGTAAGAATATGAGGAGATCAAGAAATGGTATAATATACACCTTTCCAATTAAACAATTTTAATTGTTTGTGTCAGTGTATTGAAATAGCTGCAAAAACAGTAACCGTTTATAGTTTAGCTAATGAAAACAAGAAATTTTTGCAAAAATCATATCTAGACCTTAAAAATAGTAGCTTAGTCTAGAAGATACCATCACAGATGCTTAGTGCAGTTCTCAAACTGTGGATTTGTGTCTCCAGAGATAACATGCTTGTTAACAGCAGACATGTTTTAAAATAAATAATATATAGAGATGAGAAATAACAGACCTCAACCCTATTGTCCC